TTCCTTCGACAAAACTTGCTTTTGTTGCTCTAGTGGTGTTCTTCGCATCACGAGCTTGTCCGCCAAGACTAACTTCCTTTTCTCGGCGTGTCGCACTTGTGGCTTTAAATGTGATGTCAGCAAAAGGATTCTGTGCTTGTAACATTCCAACCCCATTTTTATTTAAAAGTGGGTTTTTAATTCTTAGTTTGTGTGCTCAAGAGGGCCCACCTTCTATTTTTATGTCCCCCATTCTCGTCACTCTTCCATCTCTCTCCCTGTCCTTCTTCCCGATCCCGTATACCTCATTTTTTTTCTTTCCTTCAACTCTCTGCACTTTCCCGTATCTCTCAAAACCCTCTCACCCCATGACCCACAATCGTGTTCATCCATCACCACACCACCCTTCCTGGCGTCAGCAGTGTCGTCATCATCATCATCATCATTATCCTGCCGTCTCTCTCTCTCTCTTGTCGCATGCGAAGAACGGCGAAACCCAGGAGCACTCTGGCGATATTTTCTTATTGTTCCAGTTAGGTAAGCCTTGGTTTTCTCTCTAATCCTTTTAGAGGAGGTGTTGATGAGTTTTAATGAGTTTTATTTCGTTATTTCCAAGGTTTTTAGAGCAAGATCAACTCGGGAGAAAACTCACCCAACTCCGGTGAGCCCATGAGTGTTGAGGAGCTTTCCGTCTATCTTAGGTCGTTCCACGGCGAACCAAAGGTATAAAAACACTCCTCTCGTCTACTACTTCATTTTGGTACCTAGATCGGAGCCTAAGGTATACGTTTGCAGTCGGCCGGAGCTGTAGAAGCTCCGGCGTTTTTCTCCATTTGTTTCCGTCAGCATGCAGGTCCTTAAGGCTGTTCAGGACACCCACGGGCCTTGGGCCCGTAGACCAAACCCAACTCATTCTTGTCTTTTAATTAATTTTTATTATTTATTTTAATGACCCAAAGGGCTTTGGGCCATTTTTATTTAGAAATGGCTTAAAGCCCGGCCTCGTGTGTGAGGCATTTGGGCTGTGCAATGCGTGAGTGTGTGCGTGTGTATGTGGACTCTGTGTGTGTATGTGTGTGCATGCCGTGCATGCGTATGCATGCTGTGCATGTATGTGTGTATGTGTGCCCGTGTGAGTGTGTGCACGTGTGTGAATGTGTGCACGTGTGTGAGTGTGTGCATGTGTGTGTGTGTGTTGTGCCGTGTGTGTGTATGTTTATGTGGGTTTAGGTTTAAGGCCCAAACCACCCCTTTTCACCCTAACCCCTTTTAACCAAAAACCTTAGGACCCGAAAACCCAAAATCTCTCCTAGACCAATTTTAATGTTCCGAATCCGTTTTTGGCGTCCATTTCCTAGAATTCTACCGTTTGGGCATAGTTTGATAAATTGTACATTTTTGTGCTTAGGTGAACTTGCTAGTGGGGATTTCCTTAATCCTTTTCCGCACAACTTTGCTGCTACGGAGTATCTGTGAGTGGACCCTTTCTAAAATTACATGATTTCATAGTTTAACTGCATAAATGAAAAGCATGCCTTACGAGTTTATGGATTGATTTTATGTTAAGCATGTTTATTAAAATGTTGATTATCGTCTCGTTATTTTGTAAGGAATTAATTGTTGGCCTATATTGAGCTATATTTTTATGTATCGTATTTTCTATAAAAACCATGAACTGGTAGACTATGTGATGGATGACGATAAGATGCTAGAACATGTTTTAGAAACCCCTCTTTATAGTATAGATGATGGATGACCTTATACTATGAAGTGGTTATTTATGAGAAGCGTAACTATTTGTGCGTACCTAGAGGACACTATGCCGCCTGGGGCGAGGATCAGGTGTTGGCAGTTAGGCCAGGAGAAATAATCCCTAGCTACGGGCTGAGGGACACGGAGCAAGCATTGGGCCGGGAGTTGGTAATCTCTGGCTACGGGCGCAGAGACCACGATGCTGGCATAGGGCCGGGCGTTATATTTATTCAGTGATCTTACTAGCAGCACATTGCGCTTACGAGACGATCTGTGAGACGATTGATATTTTGATTTCCGTGATGTTTTTCCGCGATATGTCTTTTAAGATGTTTTTGGCATGCTAGGGTTTTCAGTAAACCTATCACTTATTATGCTAGTAGTTTTCTTTATATAAACTGTGAGGGTTAGTATCTTGGTAACTGTTTTATTATTATTGTATATATAAACTTAGTCCACTCACCTTTGTTTTGCGCCCCCATTCAGGTCTTAGAATCGAGGCACACAATCCCGGTGTCAAGGCACTTCAACGTCGGCATCTTCGAGCCGTCTCGGTGTAGGACCCACTCCTTTATTGATTCAATTTTATATTATTTCTTTTAGTGTTCTAATTAGTTGTATGCTCTTAACACGTTCCTAAGTTGTTAATTCATTGTATTTCAATTCATAACCCTTATTTATTTCTCATTCTTAGCTTTTGTATCCATTAATGGCTTTCGTCACCCTCGGGTGTCGGCCAGCACGTGTCTATCCTGGTATTCAAGCAATATCAGGGTTGGGGCGTGTCAGTGCTTATGACAGGCCATCATGATCTGGGTTTTGGACCATAGGTGGAAGGTTAGTCACTGATTTACCCATTCTTATTTTCTTTTTTACTGACCGTGTCTCAATGGTCATGAAATTCGTAGCTTTAGTGCTGGGTCTCACCGGGCGTGCCAAAATGTTGACTCTAAAAACTACCAAGCCTACGTGGCATGCAAGCCGAGTAATTAAAAAGCTAACTACGTCCTTCGATTGTTTGCGGGGCATGCAAACTCGACAGTTGAGTTCTGCCGGAGAGTAAAATATGTTAATGTTGTGTTGAGCGCACCACTAACTTCTTGATCTTGCGACTGCGGTCAAGAAAGGAACATGTCTCGACCTTCGGGTTCTAAAGCCTGAAGACAAGGCTATTAGTCTTGCGAAGTTCACGAATCGTCGGCGCCGAGTTCGGTTACAGTAATTATAGTCGTGAGAGTATAAGCATGCCAAATTAGCACCAAACTATACGAACACAAGTACTCAAAGAAGATATATATCTTGATGGTAAATGTGGTTCGGCCGTCAGAATGCCGAACTCTAAAACTTACTTGTGAATATCCAATCATAAATAATTTTTTACTCGGCGTTCAATGTGCTGAGCCCAGTAATTTGTAACACCTCACTTCGCCGAGAAGGCTAATGAGATGACCTCTATCAATAAGAACTTGAAAATCCTTCTTGGCCAAGACTTAGGTAGATAACCATTCTGCCTCGACGTTGTGCTGTTTATCCAAACTGAAGGTGCTCCGGGGTTGGCTAATTCTGCGGCAACAGTGCTGTTTATCCAAACTGAAGATGTCACCAGTTGCCTTCACAATGCTCTTTATCCAAACTGAAAATCTATTGGTGGAAAAAGAAAATAAAAATCTCAAGGTTGTTGAGAGGTTTCGCATAGAGCGAGAGTTTGCGCAGGGTAGTTTGTATGTTGAATTGAAGGGGCTTTGAATGGTGTGATCCCTCTTCTATTTATAGTAGTGAACCTGCTCCTGGCCGAGTTAGAACCACACCTGGACTTGGACTCTTTATCCTGATCTAACTAGGACTCGGCTAGTCCTAATTCAATTGGGACTTTGAACCCACCTCCATAATGAACCAGATTCATTCCCTGACTTTCAGTGCCTTCAGCTTTAACACCTCTGGTGGTATAAGGATTCAACCTTCGCCTTTATCCGAATCAATCCTTCTCGCAAAAAGACTTGACCGAAAACCGACTAGACAACTCCTGGTGCCTAGCCGGCCCATGATACCCCCAGAAGACTGTTGGACCAGGAGTCTCGGCCCATTTTGTTACTCTCAGCCTCAAGTTGTCATTTTGGACCCTAACAAATACATGGCACAATGAGAATTAGAAATTTGAGCCTAGATTTTTAATAAATAATGACATGTGGTGCGCTGAGAGACGTTGAAAATCTAAGCCAATAATGTGACATGGATGATGAGATTTACTTAGACTATTTAAACAATTTTGATTTGTGTATAGTAACTGTCTGGGCAACTCATAAACTGGTGGAGTTTAGGTCTATAAAAAGGACCAAGCCACGATGAGGTGGCCCGAGCCTAACCCCATTTTTTAGGTTGTGGGCTGACCCGACCCAGTCAGTTAAATATTGCAATAAATCAATTGTGATTATTGTTCATGCCCAACCCATTTTTCATTAGATGCAAGTTGAAAAAACATTCAAACGATAGGATGGAATTCACTAACAATCTCAAGGACATCTGTAGTTGCTGAAAACATTTTAATCATGTTTACTGGAGTTACCAAGCGTCATCCCCACCGTGTATCACAAGATCGTTGAACTTTAGTTTCTTGGTTAACTTCTTTTTCCACATAAATGGTCTCTCTTCTTGATTGATTCAGCATCTGCATCTCTAAGCATGTCACACCAATTGGTCAATGTTGCAACAACATGAGAAACTAATGCAAAATTTGTTAATATATTTATTCTGTCGATAACTTTATAACCATGCAATTGCAAAGGCAACGAATAAACTGGCTATTTTTGAACTCGTCAATTCTTTGTTATGCAGGTCACTTAATTTAGCAAGACAATACTTACAACGACTAGTTGCTGGTAATTAGTTGAACACATTCATACGACAGTCAATATGTTTTTGAACAGTAAGTCGCCATGATGATAGGTAAAATAAAATTAACCCAAGAGACTTGTGTAAAATCAAGTTTAAACAGAAGAAACTAATTCGTATTAAGTATGCTAGAAGGAGTAGTTAATTGGTTTGTGAGAGCACGTATGTTTTGCTTCCAAGGCAATGCCAACAGATGCCAGCACGAATTAAGTATACTAGTTAGAAACTGATCTCTAAGTTTAATAAAAAGCTTAATTGCTTAATTTCTGAGTATCTGAGTTTCTGAAACCAAGCTCAGCAGCTGGTTCAATTGTTTATTGGAGAGCTTTGAATTAATTAATCTTTTTCATAGAAATTAATTAAGAGAGTACTATTAATTACTGTAATGTCGAGGATTGTTAGAGGGCACGGAGGAAAGAGAAAAGAGTCGGTGGCGGTGGCCATAGACAAGGACAAAGGAAGTGAACATGCCATCAAATGGGCAGTTGATCATCTTCTCACCAGAGGCCAGCCTCTCACATTGCTCCATGTTAACCAAACAGGCTCCGACCCCCAACAAACCCAAGGGCTCTTTCTTTCTTTCCGTTCCTTGTGCTCCAAAAAGAATGTAAGTGCTTTCCTGCCATATCTATGCTGCTTCATTAATTTCTATTTCCATCTTCTACGTGATAATCATGCACCCGATATGTTTACTCACATGGAATGAGAATAGGTTAGTAGGCGAGAAAGAATTCGGAATTAGTATCTATCTCATTCAAGATTGAGAGGAGAGATACCACTAAGTCAGGATGACATTTTCGAAATGTCTATAACAACTTCCTTGTCATGTTTGAGACAGATAAAATGCAATGAAGTCGTAATCAAGGACACTGACATTCCAAACGCAATCATCGATTATGTTACGGCCAACACTGTTGAGATTTTGGTACTTGGCGCACCATCCAAAAGCGGCCTTTTCAGGTGATCATTAACTATTTCCTCATCATTTTCTCATACATCTGTTCGATATTTTTCTTCTGTATCTAATATATACACCTTAATCGGTTCTAATATTGGAGCCCTAATTGCATCAACTTTTTTTTCTTGTTTCTCTTCTTCCATTTTTTGTTCCACAAAAGATTTAAGCTCACAGACGTTCCAAGCACAGTGTCAAAAGGGGCACCGGATTTTTGCTCTGTTTATGTGATTGGCAAAGGAAAGGTCTCGTACATGCGATGTGCTACTTCTGCACCCCAAAAATCTGCCCAACGTAATCAAGTACAACGCCAACCAAGCCCTAATTCTGAAGCCAGATCTTCAGGTTTGTTTTCCACCTCATGGTATCATAATATCGTGCTTTTCATTAGTTACTAATTAACTGAGTTTATTTGATTAATTCAGCATTGAATAGGATGCAGAACTATTCTGCTCGTAACCAGCCAGATGGTGACATCCAAATCAAGTAAGCCCTAATTTCTTGGTCCTATCCCACTTGAGTGAATAGGTATATCTATATTCTGGAAATGCGTGTGTATATATATGTATATGTTGAGAGTTTATCCCTCATTGGCAACTAATTGGTTTTGGATTTGGATGCATTAATTCTATTAAATACAATGCGTGGATGAGTTCTGTTAGGGTACTGTAGATATGCAAACTCATGCTTTGCCCTTTCCAGCCGGAGTTCTAAAAGACTATATGTTTGTATGAACTATGGAAAAGGGAATACATGTGTAATAAATGAGAGGGGCTACCCAAACAAAAATGATTTACAGGTCACCGTTCGCACGAGGAAGACCCTCCATGGACAAATCATATGAGCTTTCACCAGAAACTGATATATCATTTGTAAGCAGTGGAAGGCCAAGTATTGATCGCATGTCACCTCGCTGTGACTTTGGTGTAGAATCAGGAATGAACTCTCGACTTTCAATCGGCTCAGACGGGGACAACAGAAGCTCCACATCGTCTTACTCAAGACACAAGTTTTTAGATATGGGATCTTTACAATATGAAATGTCTTCATGCTCAACTGACGGTGGAAAATCATGGTCATCGTCACAAAACATGGTACTTAAGATAATTTCCCGGGATATTTTGTAGACATTAGAATTTTCATGCCCACCTACTATAAACCTTTCATCAAAAGCTCATACGGTTCTCATTTGCATCGACAATAACAGGACGATGTGGAAGCTGAGATGAGGAGGCTCAAGCTAGAGCTTAAGCAAACAATGGAAATGTACAGTACAGCGTGCAAGGAAGCTCTGACAGCGAAAGACAAGGTATATATGATGTGGTACCTTATTCAAGCGTAGAATTAATTTTTGCATATGTTCTAACAACAAAATCATCACAGGAAAAAGAAATTAACAGGTGGAAATTGGAAGATGAACAAAGGCTAGAAGTGGCGCGACATGCTGAGGAAGCTGCTTTGGCACTTGTGGAGAGGGAAAAAGCAAAATGTAAGGCAGCCATTGAGGCAGCTAAAGCAGCTCAAAGGATTGCTGAATTGGAAGCACAAAAAAGAAAGGTTGCAGAAATGAAAGCCCATAAAGAATCCGAAGAGAAGAACAAGGCACTTCAAGCAAGGTCATATGATCCTAGGTACAGGAAATACACAATTGAGGAGATTGAATCGGCAACAAATGATTTCTCACAAGCTCGAAAAATCGGTGAAGGAGGCTATGGACCAGTGTACAGAGGTGAACTAGACCACACACGAGTGGCAATAAAAGTTCTACGTCCAGATGCAGCTCAAGGACAGTCGCAGTTCAAGCAGGAGGTGTGTGACGTGGAACATGATCAAGGCTTAACTATTATATATCTTCAAATATACAACAGTATCTTCATATGCTTAGATCATAAACAACACAACCAAGGGAAACTACTAATATTAAATTGTTGAGAGTGAACCCACATCGGAGAAAGAAGGGATCTTACATGTGCTTATAAATAGTTTAGCTACTTCCCATATTACCAATTTATTTTATGATGAAAACTCAACTTTCCTTATGGTACTAGAGCAGGTTGTCCCATATGTGAAGCCCAGCTCCATGTTACCCGATTTGTGTTGTCCACATGAGGGGCATTGTAGACAACATGTTCTGATATCATGAAAAAAGTTGGAGTTCCACCATACCAATAACAATATAGGGAGTAGCTCAATTTCTTATAAGCACATATAAAGTCTTTCATCACATATAAAGTCTTTCATTCCCAATGTGGGATTCACTCTCAATAACAATTACTATGTTGAATCTGATCATGAATGGATTAAAGATTACATTCAAACTTGTTTCCATAATGAGACCACATTGTTTGAAAATTAAAACGATCGGGTAGTGTTCTTGTGACAAAAGTAAAGGAAAACATAGATAATGTTAGAAAAATCTTAATAAACTAAATGAGAAAGAATATAATATGAACTTCGCTCGTATGAGTAGTTTCTCATGCAGTGACCCTCTTAGATCGCATTAGTTGAATTATAGATTATAGAATTATTGACGCTCATTAATCTCAATGGGGATTCAATCCTTTGATCATGTATTAGTGTGGATATTTATCTGACAGCCCTTAGTTTTGCAGGTTGAAGTATTAAGCAGTATACGACATCCAAACATGGTTCTCCTCCTTGGAGCTTGTCCAGAGTACGGTTGCTTGGTCTACGAGTACATGTCTAATGGGAGCTTGGAAGATCGTCTCTTCTGCAGAGGTAACACCCCAGTTATTCCTTGGCAGATAAGGTTCCGAATCGCTGCAGAAATCGGGACAGGGCTTTTGTTCTTTCATCAGGCCAAGCCAGAACCCCTTGTACATCGTGACCTAAAACCTGGAAACATCTTGCTAGACCATAACTATGTGAGCAAGATCAGTGATGTAGGTTTAGCTAGGCTTGTCCCTCCATCTGTAGCCAACTCTGTCACTCAGTATCACATGACATCAACAGCCGGAACATTTTGCTACATCGACCCAGAATATCAGCAAACTGGCATGCTTGGGACAAAATCTGATATCTACTCACTTGGCGTCATGCTTCTACAACTAATAACAGCCAAGCCACCAATGGGGTTGACTCATCATGTTGAGCGGGCTATTGAGACGGGAACTTTTGCTGAGATACTTGACCCTGCTGTTCCTGATTGGCCAGTTGAGGAAGCCTTGAAGTTTGCCAAGCTTTGTTTACAATGTGCTGAAATGAGGCGAAAGGACAGACCAGATCTTGGCAAGGTTGTGTTGCCTGAACTTAACAGATTGAAAGCACTCGCAGACGAGAGCTTCAATTGTGTCATGTTTGGTGCTGGTGGAGTATTCTCACCGAGGCAACGCTCGAATCCCTCAATGCAAGTGAGTAACATAACATAAACATGAACTGCATACTTTTTTCTGTTTTCTTCAAGTTTATTTGTTTAATTCATTTTTTTCTTGTATTTAGGATGTGATAAGTCAACAATCCGGATGTGAAAGCTCAAGGAGCCGTTCAAGCACACCATCATTTCCTGGAAAGATGGAGTTCTCAAGTTGACAAAACATTCCTCATCCAAAGTGAAACAAATTCACATTATCTTAACCCTTATCATCTTGACTATCCCAGCTACATAATTGGAGTTGTTCTTCAGTACGTTATAAAGTTTTTATTGGAAGTTGTTTCACAAAAAGAGGAAAAGATTGTATGAAAGAGAAATCAACTGTGTATATTTGGAACTCATTGATAATTTGATGATACAGAAATTTTAATTTCATAAAGGCTTCATTTAGAGATTTCAAGTTTCTATATCTAACCTCTAGAACTCGTTTGGTGCCTACGAAATGTTATATATTCGATAACTCATTATATTCAAAGTATGTTGAAGGAAGAAATGAAGAAATTTGTCCGAGTTGTTGGTAGAATACAGATAACTCACCATATTCATGTTGAAGGAAGAAATGAAGAAATTTGTCCACGTTGTTGGTAGAATACAGATAACGCACCATATTCAAACTATGAAGACGATGACGCCGTACGTCAGGAGAGGCCACAGGGTAAGCAGCTCTGCTACAAGCACGCGGAGCAAATAGAAACATCATCGCCCTTAGATGCTTTGCTACTGCTACTCTCTCTCCTTCTGATAATAAATTAAAATTTGAATGTATCTTGTTGTGCTTGACAACATCAAAGTTATTAATTCAAATCAAAACCACATAAGTTAAATTAATGTGAGTTATTCTGCTTCAAACAATACAAAGAAATTGATAAAAGCCCAGCATGATGAGGGAGATGGCGACCATTGACTAGGTTGGTCGACAGATGGTGAAGGAAGAGGGAGGAGAGAATTATTGTCTACAAAACTCATGAAAAAGGGGCTTCAGACAACAAATTTTAAACTTATTTACGATCAGTCATTGTCTCCGACATCAACTTATTTATGACATTGCCTTCAAACTGCAAACTTATTTACTGCCGCTGCCCCTTGTCAGTATTATTAATAAAAGTGTTTTTTTTTTTCATTAAAAAAATTGTCAAATTTGAATGATTTTATGTATTCAATTGTTAAATTTATATCATCAAATCAGTTTATTTGCAAATACGCGATATGTGAATCCAATGGCGGGTGTATGATTCGAATTTTGGGAATTTCAGTGTTAAAGTTCTAAGTTTTTTAATTAGAAATAAAGCACAAATGGCGTAAAATAAAAACTCAATTTATTCACTGAGAGTCTGAGATATTTGGTCAAAGATTTGGTAGGATTGTTGTCATCAATCAAACCATGTTTCGCACATGTCACTAGATATCGACATATTCCTAAACAATCTAATGAGTGACATCAACATAATTCGTCTGGTGTTATACCTAGCAGGTATTACATCAACACATAATAGATAAAAAAAATATTCGTATAAAATATTCGGAAGGTCATTGGTGAAGAAAATTGAGATTCCACCATTAAACCAATTGACAATATGGGGAGTAGTTCAACCTCTTATAAGCTCATGCAAGGTTCTTCTCCCATCAATGTGGGACTCATTCTTAACATGCCCACTCAAGTGTGACGAATTTTCAAACTAAACACATGGACAACACAATGGGGTGACATGAAGTGTGTATGGTCATTTGGCTTCACACGTGAGACAACATGCTCTGATACCATGAAAAAAGTTGAGGTTCTACTATAAAACCAATTGGCAATATGGGGAGTAGCCTAACCTCTTATAAACCCATGTAAGATCCTTTCTCCCATCAATGTAGGACTCATTTTCAACTGTTGGAAGACCTTCTCAGTATATTTTTCAGACTCCGAAAAATTTACGGGACCAACAACAAAGAAGAAGGGTGTGCTATCCACACACCTCATTTTACTTCTCACACACCCCTTGATAATTTCTGTCCGTTGATCTTTTTCAATTCATCCGATCCAACGGTCGAAAATTAAAAAAATGTGTGAGAAGTAAAATAGGATGTGTGGATATTACACCCGAAAAGAAAAAGAGTTTTAATGAATCCTTGGAGGTCAACATCTTCTTTCCATAAAGTGATACACGACTTGGAGTATTCAATGGGTTAATTAAACCGAAGTGAAGACAAAACAGCAGCAGCAAATACGGATCATTTTGGAGTCTAACAAGCAGATTTCTTCATCAAATATAAGGTTGGCCTACAGTGGGTTGCCTATGTGGAAATGACAAACTTTTGTTGTTGAAATATTACAACTCATGTCACTGACCGCGCAGAAGATCTGTTCTATAAAAATTATCTTGGGTAAAAGGATGTTCATTTTAGTTGCAGAGATAGAAGTGTTAAGATGAAGAAGATTGAGGAAAATTATCCACGATATATTTATTAAGGGTACAAGTGTAATACGGTTAGAAATATAGTTATTAATATTGTTAGTAAGGTTGTTAGTATTTGGTTAAAGTAATTAGGATTTCTCTTATAAAAATAATGTGTGTAATCTTCATTTAGATAGTTACTACAAACCCTATTTCTCTCTCTATACTCTCTCTCTCTAATATTTACGTGTTCATCCTTCCTTTCTTCTTGATTTTTCCTTCAATTCCCAAACATTTCAATGTAGTTAACATGGTATCAGAGCCACCAGGCTCATGCCTTTAATTCTGGTGGTTCCATTTCCCATTATTTTTCATTTGTTTCTAGTTTAGTTTCTCTTCAAACTTCCATTAGATTTTCAGTGCTTCCACGATTATTCTTGGGTTGATTTTTCTACTATTATTGGGATCGCGATTGTTGTGATTGTTCTGGTTCATTGTTCTTGTTGGGTTGGTTGTTCTTGGGGCAGTAGTTTTGCGGCCTTGTTGACGACAGCCTTACTGTCCAGCCACTCGGTTTTGGCTGTGCAAATAAAGAACTGAGATCCGTTGGTTTCGGAACCAGTGTTGGCCATGGACAAGATTCAGGGTCTAGTGTGCTTCTTGATGAAGGTCTTGTAGCCATAGCTAATTTCTTGGTGGTTTTCGTACGCAGCGGAGTCCAGAACTAAAGTCGGTGCTTCACACAGAAAGAAGTCAGCGTCTAAATGTGTATGCAATCAGCTTGTTATTTTCTGAGTATTTTGCATTTGTTGGTTATCTTGGTTGGAGGACAAAGACGAAGAAGTCGTCGTTGGAGACAACAAAGATGAAATCTTGAAGAATGGAAGTGGGGATATCTTCCAACTCTAATGTCTGACAAAGAATTTCAATATCCCTTAATTTTGCAAGGTAAGAGTACCTTTCTTTTTCAAAAAGGTCCACAGAGAGCTTGAGATCTGTAATCTCCTTAGACAAAGCCTAAACTTCTGAAGAATTAGCATCGCCTGCAGCTGCATAAGGTCTCCCTTTCTTTGGTCCTGAGGTCTTATTAAGACCAACTGTATCTCCAGAGCCAGGGTTATGTAAATTGCTTGATTGCAAAGATTTTGAGATTTTCTAAGCACCTATGGGATGTCAATCCTTCCCACCCTTACTCCTTCGCTCCACAGGGTTATAGTTTTCATTCATCTTAGTGGTGTTTTCAGAGCAGTTTTCTGAATTCTATTTTTTGCGATTATGATCCGTGCTCTATTCTCTGGTATGGAAGAAATTTTAGACCTATGTGCAGCTTAAGTGTTTGACGAAATGCCTAGTTCAGAATTTTCATGTGAAGGTTAAGTTTTTCAGCCACTTCTTCTGAAATTCTTACGATGATTCTCTTAGTATTCTGTAAATCAATTAGTTTGTGGTTATGGGCATGGAGTCATTCAGTTTATATGTTAAGTAATAAAGAGCTCAGAGTCGTCTTTCTTGTGAAATTTTTCTAGGCTCTTCCAGTTGTTTGTGATATTTGCTTTCAAGATTCTTCATCTTATGATATTTGGGATATTTGGATTCAAGAATATTGGTCATTGCTGGATTGTGCAATTTGTATGGTGATGTCCAGTTCTTTCTCTGCTTCACTAATATTCTGCAAGTTTATTGGGTTTGATCTTTCTGCAACTCTTGATATATTTTGGAGAAATGGGTGTGAATTCTTGCATTGTGGCATGTATAATTTTGTGGTTGTTTGGATTATGGGTTGAGTAGGTAGAGCACTTGCATGATCTTGGAGCCTTTACCACCTCTAATTCTTGAGCTTTCTCAACCTTTGTGTCTAGTTATCCAAGGTATCAATTGTATTGTTGTTTATGTCCTTTGCTCCCTCAGAATCAATCAAAGTGGGTTGGATTTCATGAATTGTTTGCTTAAAATTCATACCGAGAACCAAGCAGAGAGAGCTTATTATGTTTAGGTGGTCCATTATCAAATTCAAACGGTTTCTCTTCTCATCTTGATATTCAAGCAGCCGTCTACGCAATTCGTCTAGTCTCTTTAAAGACAATATGTTTTCCTATCACAACCTATAATTTCAGAGTCTAACCAACTCAGTTGTTAGCATGAATCTACAGTAAGTCTGGTTATATGATGAAGTTTGAAGAAGTTGTAAACGGTAAATCCCACGAAAGGTAATTCCGTGATGTGAATAGGTAAATCCCACGAAGGGTAGAAGCAGTTGTTAACGGTAAATCCCATAAAGGGTAACCTGTGTTTTGAGTAGGTAAATCCCACGAAGGGTAATCCTACATGCATGTTGATTTTCAATTGCTGAAATTGTGAAGACCGATGCCATTGTTCAAAGAAGTTGTTTTTTTGGTAAAATCCACAAAGGGCAATCTTGTGGTGCTATAGTTAAGGCCGATGCTGCATTATAGTTTGTTAATTTTCTATTTTTGTAAATATTAAAGGCCGAAGCCAAGTTGAATGAGATTGTTGACGGTGAATCCCACGAAGGGTAATCTCGTAAGAAGTTGTTATGCCAGCATGAGAGTGTGCTACAACTACTTTATAGAAGGTTGTTCTTGTGTAAAATTCCTGATAGAGGCAGATGAATACAGGGTGTCTTTATTTGAAAGGCAGTGGAAGAAATTTGGACAGATAGACAGAGGTTTTGGTCAACAGCTACAAAGAGGTCATGGGGTACACTTGTTTGATTCAGGGCTCTGGGAAAGCTAGAAGCTTTGGTGATATGGTTTGAGTATATGCACTTACTCTCTGTCGTATGGTCATACATCTGCTTCAAGTTGTAAGAGATTCATTTGGAAATAAACCAATGGATGAATCTTATGCCAAGTCTTTTGAGCGTGCTTGTCAAATGCTGACCGAACTAGAGGCACAATCAGTTATATCCCTTTTGTCTAATAATCCTGTTTTGCATAATTATTTTGTAGTGGAGATGGTTGTTTGGCTCGTTTTCTGCATGGCTTGCTGTTAAAGTGGTTTTGAAGTTAGCATTCACTGTGATGGTGTCTGAATAGTTACTTCTATCAGATGGTGTTAGAGAATCTATATGTTGATCAATGGAAGAAAGATCGTTATTTCAAAACCTATGTGAGAGCAGGTCTAGTTTTTCCAGCAGAATGAAGGATAATCAGGTCTTGTCTTTCTTGTTTGCAGCAGGCTAATCCAAAGTGGTGACTCTAGTCAAAGTGCTACATGTGGACAGATGTTTGGGTATCAATCCAATGGTGGTTTTCCTAAATCTACAATTTCAGTGCTACCATGTCTCAATTCTTCCAATCTCAAACTGAGTTTCCCCAGTTGAGATTGAGGGGGAGTATTAAGGGTACAAGTGTAATACAGTTAAAAATATAGTTAGTAATATAGTTAGTAAGGTTGTTAGTATTTGGTTAAAGTAGTTAGGATTTCTCTTATAAAAATAGTATGTGTAATCTTCATTTAGTTAGTTAATACAAATTCTATTTCTCTCTCTAAACTCTCTCTCTCTAATATCTCTATGTTCATCCTTCATTTCTTCTTGATTTTCCCTTCAATTCCCAAACATTTCAATGTAGTTAACAATATTGACAATATAACAACCCATATGGATGATATACTCATAATATTTATGATATTTCAATACTATATTTACACATGGATATCAATATGGACATTATATCAACAATATTCACCTATTTCAATACTACAAGGACATCGTATTAGCAATATCTTAGTACTATATTTATACATGATTACTTTAGGCATTTCCTTATTTTATCTCTCTTTTTCAAACAAAATTAGCCACATATGCTCTCTGACCAAAATTGAATTCAATGGCCATTGATGAGTTAGGAATGGCATGTAAATTATACCTTTCAAAGCAACCAGTTCCTGCCAAAAAAAAAAAAACAGGCGTTCATATTTGTTTATTGTGCGATGTAGCGTAATAAATAAACATCTATGAGAGAGCATGGATAAATTCATTGTTATTCTAGAGTAATAAATATAAGAGGACAGGAAAGATATCCAAACCGGAGGGCAGAGAATCTGCCTCCAACGAAAAGAGGTTTTAGTTTGAAATCGTGAGAAATAAAAAAGAAATAAAATGTTTATTTATTTTCTTGCAACAGAAATGAGCATCTGTTGCCTCGTATGAATGACGCGTGTCCGCCCGCTGGTTTCAACCGAAAATGCAAAATGAATCAGTGCCAAGTGCCTATATATACATGTAATTGTATATCTATAGATCATCAAATTCTACTCACTCTTGTCGGAATTATTCCTTCAACTCAATCGGATCTCTCTCGCGCACACGCCCAAATCAAACCAATTAGTGAGTGTGATTCCTTCAATCCCTAGACCCTTTCTCATGTTGAATTTTCTCATCTTCTTGTCTATCAAATAATTATTAATAATTGCTTCACTCAGTTTAATTATTGTCATTCTGCTTGTGAGCCTGGAATTTGATTTTTTGATTATGTTTGAGTAATCTTTGTTGTTCGATATGTTTGGTTGCCAAGAAAACGCGGGAAATTGTTTTGCTTCCAGTTGTACAAATTCAAGTGTTTAATCTCGATCCTGTACGGAAATTTCCTCCGTTTCAGCTGCATCATAGGAATTGGAAATGATAGTTTAGTTATGGCGATTTCGATTTGGTTGCTAAATTTGGAAGAAGAAAAAAGTTCATCAAGATGGTAGGCTTTTATTTATCATGAACTGATTGGGATATTTTTTATGAGAATTGCATAGCAAGCGAAGGATCCATTGATCAATTGATGTCGTCGTCTTCTATGCATTTATTATTCTTGAGCCATTAATGCCGCCTGCGAATTAAGAAACTTTTGAATCTTGCGGTTTCTTCTGCGCCTACATGCATGGACACGGTGGTATTCCCTCGTATCCCCGTGTCGTGTCATATTTCTTTGTGATCATACAGCAATTCGTCTTGTTGATTTGACGTATCCCCTTGTCGTGTCAAATGGGCAGGGGATATATGTAATATGTTGTTACAATATGCATATATGTGAGCATGACCGCTCCCGTGCGTGTGGATTTGAAAATGACCTTGTTGTCCGATGATATGTATGATTGATGAGTTTGATAATGTCGTTGCAGCTGGAGATGGGAATATATCTCAGCGCTCCAAAAACTGATAAGGTCTCAGAAGATGGTGAGAATGACAGACTTCGATATGGGTCATCCTCCATGCAAGGGTGGCGTTCAACCATGGAAGATGCTGTAAGTAAGCTTTATGTTATTCTTCTTAATTCGCATACGCATTCCCTTTGATCAGGTTACTTGAGTAGTGAGATTTATATTTCACTTGCAATTGTCATACTTATTATCTCATGACATTTTGTCTGAACATGAAAGTGATATTCAGTTATTTATTGAGTATGCGGTATCCATATGCACCCGTTATATCCAATTCTATAAAATCCAATTATAGCATACCAGCATAACTTACATCCATATAGATACAGGTATATAATATATAGTGAATGCAGAGAGAGGAGGATTTTGCATGACTTGGTGGAAATCGGTAACTTTATGACTGCTAGAAGTTTAGGCATCTAGCTAATGAGTGGAACCAGATATGCTCATTTTCATCTGATATATGTCCAAGGCTGTTCAAAGAATCGTAAGGATTCTTTTCAAACACGCCATGCTAAAAAGAGAGGAAGATATAGTCTTTTATCCAGAGGGGTGTCTGGTGAACTAGTAGCTCTCAAATTTGCCATAGATTGTATACTGTTTTTCCTATTACCTACTAAAAGTTCTTGATTTTTGTTGTAGCATGCTGCTTATCCAGATTTTGACGGTTCAACATCTTTCTTTGGTGTTTATGATGGCCATGGAGGTTAGGTTTTTAAGTTTTGTAATTTAACGTTTACTTTTTTATACTGTGATCTTTCATTTTGTAATTGGTTTTCATGTCCATGCTGGACTTCTCAAGTTGGTATACTCTTCATGATCACGTACTTGGAATCAACATTTATTTTGTGTTTTAGATAAACCTCCAAAACTAATCTAATCAATCTTGAACCAACACCTCCCCCACTCCCTTCTTCCCTCTCTTTTCTTTTCTCTACGTTGTTTCTTTGCCTTATGTTATCGGAAGCTAAAGACTTTATGGAAAGAAAGTTTAGGGTAGGAGTCAATAAAAAAAAGGTAATTGAAAATATGAAGATTACTTCAACATGCCTAACAGAGTATAGAGTATATTGCTAGGTTGTTGGTATGGTGTGCAGCCCAGCAATACGATCAAAACGAAAACAAGGCCACATAGGGTAACCATGAGTTGAAAACATACGGCGATACTATTCTCCCAATTCTCATTGAAAAAAGTTAAATGAAATAAATTACAAAAAAAACTAATAAATTCCAACACCATGTGTGCGCAATACTTTGCATGAGGTTGGTAATAAAACCTAGTCCTGGAAATTTTGCTGTATATTTCTTGGATTTTCAGCTGCGAACCCTTCTTGAGTTGTCCCTTCCCACATCGTAGCCCTGCAGAAGAAGGGAGGTGTTGTTTAGCTAGAGATGTTTGTGAGATGGGATTTCTTAATGTTTTAAGTGTTTATAGGTTGGTACCATGTGATGAGGCCTTATCATCACTAGTCCTGGATTTGCAGGTAAAGCAGTGGCAAATTTCTGCGCCAAGTATCTCCACCAACAAGTGCTCAAGGATGAAGCATATCTAGCTGGTGATTTAGGCAGTTCTCTGCAGAAAGCTTTCCTCAGGTTACTTAACCCCTTTGTATAATTAATGTTCACATTAGCAATTTCTAGCTCATGCATCTATGCTACCACTTTGTCCCAAAAACAAGGACGCAAGAACCTGTCTTTCTTCTGTATGTAATAAGTTGTAAGTCATCTTGCACCAATTCCCTAATATAGTTCATACTGACATACCATGTTCATTCTTTTGCTTTTATTATTATCGAGTTTATAGGATGTTAAATGCTTGTGTACATTGATGGAGGAGCCAAGTTAAAATTTAATAAATGCAGTTTACACATGTAGTCTGCAAGTTCATTGTCTTTGAGTCTTTCTGTGTTACAATATTAATTTATTAGGTGTCATAAATTAGTCTTTAGAATTCCTAAGTATATTAATGTGGATCTTTCCTGATTCATGTACCAATTAGCCTATAAAAGGGCTACTTTGTAAGCTAAATAGTAGGGAAAAGAAATTCTGGGTTTCTTGCTTATGTGTGAGGCACAGCAACCTTGGAGTGATTCCAAGGAACTTTTGGTGTGAAGCTGAAGGGCCGTGAGATGCCGGAATTTTTAAAATTCTCGATTGGAGTGATTCCCATACACCTTTGGTGTGATGCCAAAGGCCGGAGTGAGTCCGGAATATGTTCTATATTTCCTATCCCTACCTATTGTCTACATCATTCATGTATAATAAAAGTCACAAAACTAAAGAGATGGCAACCACATTCGGGGGCATGTAATTCTTATGAAGCTGTAATGTCAAATTCTATTGCAACATATGGGTGAAGCTTCATTTTGAATCAACTTCTAAAATTTACAATCTAATGATGGAAGACAATAAGTGGAAGAAAGTTGTAATTAGGGGTAGGAATAATTTGTATATTTTGTCATCTTAAATTGCTTTTAACTGAGGCAGGATGGATGAGATGATGCGTGGACAAAGAGGCTGGAGAGAATTAGCCATACTGGGAGATAAGATAGACAAAGTTTCTGGTCTTATAGAAGGGTTCATTTTTTCTCCGAAGAGTGTTGAAGCTAAGAGTAGTGCATTCAACGACCATGTTGATCAGTGGTCTTCTGAGGAGGTACTCTTTACACATCAGCTGCATTTAGCAATTGTACTATATTCTCCATTTCTTTTGGTAAACATATCACCAGATGCACAAGTGTTTTAGTGGAGACTGGAGACAGATTTGGCTTGTAACTGAGAATGTTTTTTTTCTTGTTGTATAAGAGTTTGAGATTTCTTGTCCTAGTTCTTCTAAATTTTACGACTCTTGAAAATCTTCCTTATCAAATTATAGAAGTACTTCTTATAGTATGGAAGTCATCATGGCAAGGTTTTCACAAGCTTTGAAGGCCTTCACAAAAATTTTCATCTAATTTCTTCAGTTTAACATGATACACTTATCAAACTCAAGATGAGGTGAACAACAATCTATATGGCAGCGGGAGGGAGTGAATCATCATTAACTACCTGCCATTGACAGTTTGAGATGTTAGCCTTAATCTTATGATAAATATATCTGGAATTTAATTGGTGTTCTTAACTATTTTAAAATTTTAATATGTAACCGTATTTCATTAAGAAAAGTTTTTGGGCTTTACATCAGGGACCTCATTCTGATTTTGATGGACCAAATTCTGGAAGTACAGCTTGTGTTGCTATTATCCGAAACAAACAACTTCTTGTTGCCAATGCTGGTGATTCTCGCTGCGTAATATCCAGGAAGGGTGAGGTATGCTGCAGTTTCAATGAAATTTTTTACCTATGGATAGATGTGTATTATGAGGCAGCTTTGTTCGCTTTTTTGTAATATACTGTAGTAGTTATTTCAGTTCCCTTACGCAATACTCAAAGCTACATAGTTGTCTTTACTAGAGACTAGAGTGAAGTTTTGTCTCTTTTTCCTTAGCTCCTTAAGCTCCAATATCTTCCTCTCGTTCTCAAATCCCCTTACAATCTTCTTCCTTTAGTTTGCTCCTTAAGGTATCCATGAAACCTGAGGTTGGATTTTAACTCGTCATATAATCAATAGATGTTTTGGAAAGCCTCAATGTATTCTTCCACCATTGCATTGTCCAAGCTATAATTGTTTCCAACTGTGTTTCCACCCATAAAGCATTTGGGGGCAGGTTTTGATTCTGTACTATCTCTGTGTGTGAGATGCCTGCTGTTCAAAATGTATTTTCAAGAGGTGTCAAACAAAGGATGGAAGATACCACAAAGTTACTTTTCTTTGTTAGTGAGTATAATAGGAATGGGGTACAATCAAAGTGTACCAGCTGTTATTAGACATAAAACAGATCAGCTAACTTAAAATGTTTGACACGGCAGCATCCTTCTAGACATTAAACTCAAACAAAAGCCTCCCAAACCACAATCAGGGAAATCGCCGAATGCAAAGGAGGCTGAACCCAAAGATAGGAGAAAAACTTCAGTAGCACAAGTGGGCCCTCGTTTTTGCCTCACTCTCTCTCACAAACCCCTGCAGCCGGCCCCCGGTGTCATGTTGATGTGTCAACTTCTTAGTGGCTTCCCCTATATGCCCGACCATGTAGCTCCTCTACCAAAGTTTCTCTCCATAGATAGGACCCAAAACGTAGCCTTATTTCATTTATAGTCCCCAATGTCTCCAACTTTTCCCTCAAATATCAGCTCAAAAGGATGGGTATAATCCCCCATCTGCTGCACTTTTCACTTTGGTAAAACTTCCTTAACAAACTGCCCCTGACCCCAACTTTTGTACCAAGGTTGTAGGAATAGATCAAATGAGTTTCTGCCATTCTGTTGCTTTACTGCTGAACCGCTGATCTTTATTAGGAATTTTGCCTGTGATTCCTTATTCAAGTTTTAAGTGCAGGCTTATAATTTGTCTAAAGATCATAAGCCTGACATTGAGAATGAGAAAGAAAGAATTTTGAAGGCTGGTGGATTTATCCAAGTTGGAAGGGTCAATGGAAGTTTGAACTTGGCAAGAGCAATTGGTACAAAAAATTTCCTTGCCCTTTGAAAGGAGAAACTGGGAAATAACCTCTTATTTTTGTTTTTCATTTGAATTTCATGTATTTAATTGCTGTTGCTTGCAGGGGATGCGGAATTCAAGCAGAACAAACAGTTGCCCGTTGAAAAGCAGATTGTGACTGCCAATCCAGACATAAATAGCGTATGCAGCATTTCATTTCAGTACTAAATGATGTGAACTTTGGATGAGAAATTTGAACCGTATATACTTACAATACAACCAATCTTATAAACAAAACCAAATTGGTTTTTTTTTAGGAGAAGTATTCCTGTCATCCAAGATATATAGTCTAGATGCTAGTCAGACTTCCAAAGTTAAAGAAAGAAAGTGCTCTGTTTGATTTTATTTCTTTTTTGTTTTTATTATTTTGACTTTGAATAATATTTTCAGATAAACCTTTCTTCAGAACTTGCTTCAGTTTCACTAATTTATGTTTTTAATTAAAAATTCCCTTTCATGTAGGTTGAGCTTTGCGATGATGATGAGTTTCTGGTCATAGCTTGTGATGGGATATGGTAAATTTTTCTGTGTAATACTTTCATATCAGAAATATAAGTTCCTGTTGATTACAGTGTACATTTTATCTCCATCCGATATGTTCTCTAAAGGATATAGGGGTAAAACTAGAAATATTGGAAACGTCGAAGTACTTTATGGAGCGCAAATTAAGATGGAGTGTTGCTAAAAACTTAGCTAGAGGTACATCCTGGGGAACAACCAATCACTGTTTTATTTGGGATGAAGAATGAATTTAACGTATAGTCCAATGCCTGATGACAGTTGTCGTATATGAACAATTGTTGCAAGTCAGTTATGGTTATAAATGTACGAGTAACCTGGTGAGCTTTTTGTTTGTCATAGGTTTTCCTTCAGAGTTTTTTTTTCCATCTTCTTCAACTTGATACATTAAGATAATAACAGGCACACGTAGATTTTACATTCTGCTACTTTGTTGAAACGCTGATGCACGCTCTCTCCAGGGACTGCATGTCAAGTCAACAACTTGTGGACTATGTCCGGGAACAATTAAAACATGTAAGTTGACAAACTTCACTGAGATTTCCAAATATATACCAATTTGAGTGACATGTGTTCGTACGACATTGCAGGAAAGTAAACTGTCAGTGGTTTGCGAGAGAGTGTTTGAAAGGTGCTTGGCGCCATCATCTGGTGGAGAGGGATGTGACAACATGACAATGATCTTGGTTCAGTTTAACAAACCTGTTGCTTCAGCTGCATCTGTTGGGAACCAGCCCGTCGCGTCTAATCTGCCATCCGAGAAGGAAAAAACCGCAGCAAACTAAATAAATCTTCTGGTGGCCCTAAAATGATGACTATATAGAATGACTGCATTTCTGCAAGTTATTCGAAGTTTGTTCAGATTAGGATGGCGTTCGCATGACAGTACACGTTCATAGTATTTGTCAAATAGCAGTATAGCTTTGAGTTATGTACATGCCCGGGAGTTTGTCTTTCGGTTCTCTCTACAGGTTGAAATTTATAGTACGGAACATTTTCTTTGGATTGTAACCTGACCAAACAAAGATGATGAATGGTATTCGTTTTTTTCTCGTATTGCTTGTGAAGTTTGAGCAATAATTCATTGAATCAGCATCATGCAGTGGTTGCACTTTAAGTGCTTTTTCAACTTAAAAATATTTTCTCTAAACCAGTCAGGTTTTAGAAATATTGATCTATTATGCCCAGTGGCGGATCCAGGATTTTAACTCGAAGGGTCCCAATTATAAAGGTCAAAAAATTTATAGACAAAAATAACATTGAAAATTTAAATATAATACATTTCATTTAAAAATCATATGCAAAATAATATTACAAATTATAAAATCATAATTCAAGCGTCCATTACGAGGTTTCATAAGTTACTAGGGAGTACCTAAGTTATTGATTATCTAATATGAACCACTAAATTTAAAGGGGTGTGCTATTCACACACCCCTTTTTGCGTCTCACACACCCCTTTTTGCGTCTCACACACCCTTTATTTATTTCTGTCATTTGATCTTTTTTTAATTCAGTCGATCCGACGGCCGCAAATTAAGAGGGTGTGTATGAAGTAAAAAGGGGTGTGTGGATAGCAAATTAAAACACCGGTCAAATAAAACTCTTCCCAAACTCCCACTATCTTTCTAACCAAACACACCATTTTTCTCTTTTACTAGTTTCCAAACATCCACCTTCTCTCTCACTAAGAACAAAGCTGCCATACCTCGACTAACCGCCTCCCTCCCCATTCTCCCGAAGCCATGGTAGCTCCACCACCAAATTTCACCAACCCATGACAGATCATATCCATCTTACTAACCTTATGAAGGAAACTTCACCCATAAGAAAAATTACTAAGATGGTTGAAATAATTTGGGAAAGTTTGGGCTTATGTACTGCCATCACCAGACGACACAGAAAGGTTGGAGGAGAAGTGGGTGGCACCGATGAATGAGACCATGGCAAAAGCGGAGAGAGAGGAGAGAGGCGGAGGGTCCCTATTTCTTTCTTCCCCGTGCGCGGTCATCTTCTCCAAGAAGAAGACAGCCATTGCAACCTACACAGACCTCATGATTGAGTACGAGGGGTCCTCGGAAAATTTATAGCAACGATTTAGGATTGCCGACGGGTCCTGGGACCTCCCTGGTCCCTATGTGGATTCGTCCTTGATTATGCCAATAAATTCTTCATATAAGAGGGACCTTCAATTGAGGGACAGAGGGCTCACTACGTTTTTTGTATTTCAATGTTCCAACCATCCAGTTTTTAGGTGTTCGCTCTCACATATTCTTGAAAAAAATCACTCAAATCTAAAACTGTTTGACTAGTCGATTACACAGCTGTCATTTTAGTGTTTTCTAGAAGTATCGTGCTTGTCTATTTTCTTAATTGTAATTAAATGGCTTGACGGTTTATGAAGAAGTTGAGGTTTTATCATAAAATTAGTTAAAAATAACCACAAAATATTAAACGGAAGAATTTGGCCTACACATTTAAGCGCAGTTATTGGCCTACGCATGGTAAGTCAGTAACATTTAAATTAAATTTTGTAAACTATATAGCACAATTATTGATAATTGAATTATTACTAAATATTGATTGACATGTTTATTTTCTATTGTTGTCACGTTATATGATTTACAAATTTGGTCTGAAAAATTGGTCTACCTGACATTATCCTGTTTGTTTTGACCCAAAAAACAAAACAAGAGAAATGCCAAGGAACCTTCTCAAAGTGAGAGGCTCTCCATAAATTTTCTGTCACCTCACAGTTTAACATCAATTTTCACGTTAATATGAAAAGCATTATGCAAAACACATGAGATAACAAATAATTCATAAGAAATCTCAATTTTGAGAGAATCTTGTTAGCATCTCTCAACAAAACAATAATTTGGTAACAAAACACTGCAATTATGTAAATTCAATTTGGAAGGTGGCCAGTGTGTGAATCCTCGTCCCAGCATCCCTTAAATTGAAGGGCAGCCTAGGATCCAAATGGAGGGCGGACCTCGTTTGGTGCCACGCCTACATATCTTAATATCCACTCGTTTAAAACGGACGACTTCCTGCGCTGTCGACTCTGTCTTCGTCCGTTAATAAAAAATCGGACTCCAATATTACGGAGGCAGATTGCCCTCCTGTTGAGGTGCCTTTTCTATTTCTTTTTATTTTGTACGATCATGATTAAATTACGTTAATATTTTATATTAATTTTTTTATAAAAATAATAAAAATATAAAATATTAACGTAACTTAAAAGTCACCGCATAAATAGAAAATGGTAAGGAGGCTAACCAAACAGAGCAGACAATCTGCCCCCCAATATTATCCAACCCCCTCTTACATTAATTTACGAGCCACGACGTGAAATACTGCGTGCCTTTAGTATCGCCACAGAAATGTCCATATGCAAGAATAATTTAAACTTTATGCACCTTGATTCTTTCTCAATTCTGTTTGCTCCCCACTGGTTCTTGTTCTTCTCTGGTAACACCCCTAGATTTTTTGTTCTTCACAAACAAGAAGCAAGTGCGGTGTGACCTTTTCGTTTACGCCACCTGATTTTAGATAAATAATATTTTAATCCTTCCAAGTTGTAAATTTCAATCTTTGGTCCTCAATAATGATGTGTATATATTTTTTAATTAGGATGAGAAATGGATTTGGTAAAATAACAAAGTTAAGCAAGGTTGATGATGACATATGATTGTGAAATATTAACTATATAACATAAATAATACAAGAATCATCCAAGGCTTGAGAGTTGAGTCTTGACATATTAACTGTATAACATGAATAATTATAATACAAGAACAAACAATAAGTCAATCACCTTGCCCTAAACTGAAAGGTACCATAAAAGTTAAATTACTACGTTACAAGTAAGAAGAGAAATGAGTTTCGAACTCGGAATGTAATGATTGAAAAGGCAAAACATTTTTCAATCAAAGCTAATAAAAAGGTCAATTAATCAATTGTTGGTAAAAATTAAAATTTTAAACTAATTTAAATGTGACAAGAAAACAAAAGGTCTAGTTAATATAAAAAAATGTACATTTAGATGGTGAAATCATAACTTGAGCACGAGAGATTTTTCAGTGTACCAATACATACATCATATGTTATTATACAAGTAAAAGGACACTTGCAAAAAAAATCATCTAATTGTATAAATTTATAATAATATATAACATACCGTCCCGTGTTTTAACGACGTTGAAAAATCTCTCCTCGAGCACAAAGAATGAAGTTAAATTGACTTTACTATGGGCGTTAGAAATATAGTCATCTACCCATCTCTTTAGAAACGATATTTAACGAGTCGCACACTACAATTTGATAATTAAATATTCATTTGTGTAGAAAAATAGCAACCATTATTCAAATCAAAAAATAAGAAAAAGGAGATGTAAGAATGAGAACATTTAGTCATTTATGCATGGCAAACAAATTGACGATCATTGTAACAAGTAGCATCCTTGTGATGAGTCGTTTATGCTTGATGCATATAGATAATTAAAGGATTTTCAAATTTAGTGATATTTTGAAGAGATGATTTTTAGGTGATGTTAAAGCAAATGAATAGTTCAATTACGATACTTGTACAATGAAAACATGTTAATCACAAGAGGCAGAAAAAGTTGAATGTGATATGAACTACACTTGTTTCAGTTTGTCATACAAACTTAAAATTTCATGTGAATTGTCTTCTCAATTTTAGAAATTATTAATATGTTATCTCATGCTAACTAAAATTTCATACAAACTTTTCGTCCAAAATAACTTATGTGCAAACTTAGTCGGAATCCTCGGCTCCTTTTCATAAGTTCTCTATTTATTTTTTGTATGATACCTTAGTTTCTCATTACTTTCAAGTTCAATTACACAAATTCTCTAAAATAGTTGAAAAGATCATGTGCAAGAGGCATGGGTTATTTTTTAACAAAGTTAGTGTGAGATAATAATTTTGGAACATTGAGATGATAAACTACTTAAAATTTTAGTACGTATGACACAACAACTACGGGACTCGATATTACCACTTGGTTTTGAAACCTACACGTTGATGCTCACGATTTTAATAGCCGTACCACTGATTTGGAGAAGATCTTTCAAAATTTATTTAGTGTCCATTTTGGTCAACTCTCCAATAATGGTGAGGCCGAACACGGCTGTGGCTTATTTGGCGTTACATCACAATTCATTCATTCTCGGACATAAATGTTTCATAATTTAGATTTTCTCAAGCAGTACGAGGAGAACGTACGAGGATAAAACTTCTTACACGTTTCAAAACGTGGCACGAACATCTGCTAGCGGCCTGAGTCTCACATCTGAGGGAAAAACATGTATAGTTTCATATGATAATTCAAAAATTTCCAAACAAAAAAAGGGTCATGGACCACATTAAAAGATTATGAGAATGAAAGGTACCCATCAACAATAAATAGAAAAATTGGATTTGGTCAAATAAGATGCAGGAGGAAAATGCAAAAATTCTAAAATAGTGGGTAGCCAAAGAAGAATAACTCATAAACGAATATTCTCCAAATACGACTCGGATAAAACCAGATAAGCATCGCAAAGAGGTAGGAAGGAGGACCCTCTCTCCTCCTTTTCCTGCTCCTATCTTTTTATCCACAAAACAACACAATACACGTCACCCCTGGAAACGGACCCCGTGGGTTGATGGATAAGGACCCGCCTCCCTCTCCCTTCCTATATATACACGCACCTTCCCCCTCCCTTTCTAAAAAACGAGTCATCTTTCCCCAGTACCTCCATTTTTTTTATTCTGCAAATTGCAATCGTTGAGTTTCAAGGAAAAAGCTTCTGATTTTATTGATTGGGTCGCGTTCCCAACTCAAGAGGATCATTGGGTTATCTTTAAATAGCCGGAGGATTGTTGGGTTTTCTGAGATTTTTGGAATGGCTTGCGTTGGAGCTGGTTTGATCGGGGGCAGTGGGTCGTCCTGGAATCTGTTGAAGGATAATAAGGCGAGGAGGAAGAAGATGGTGAATGATAAGAGGGGGATGGTTTCTTGTGTTGCTTCTTCTTCTTCTGTGATGGATCCTTACCGGACCTTGAAGATTCAACCTGGTGCCTCTGAATCTGAGGTCAGGAAGGCTTTCAGACAACTTGCTTTGAAGGTTTGTATTTTTTTTTCTTTCTAAATCTGATATCTAATCTGTATTTTTTTCGTTTTTCGTTTTTTTTTTTTCCTATGTTTTATATAATTATAATTAATTAACTTTTGTGTATTTATAGAATTTTAAGGGATTTTTGTGGGACTTTTTTGGCTGATTGGGTTTTGATGAATTGCAGTATCATCCAGATGTATGCAGAGGAAACAATTGTAGAGTTCAGTTTCACCAGATCAATGAAGCCTATGATGTATGTAATTATATTCCCTCGTGTCTTATATTGTTTTTTTTTTATATATATTAATCTTACTATTTATTTTTAGATGCTAATCATGCTAGTTTAGACGAAAACTGGTTTTTCTTGTGTTGGATTATCAGAGAATTAAGGGTCCGTCCAGTAACATCTTACAAAACGATTTTTGAAAAACTCTTTTGTAAAATGAAAATAGCAAATAAAATTTTACGTTTCTATGATTTGAAAATGCATCTGGTATTTTAGTCGAAAATGATTTAAAAAAAAAAAAAACCTGTATTGGGTAGTAATGGTGGTAGGTATGCAGGTGACAATGAAGGTGTTAGTAGTGGTGGAATGTAGTAGGTGACAATAGCTTCAGGGAGCTATGATATAAACTGTGAATAAGATTAAATTACATACTAATAAAGTCTAATGAGTGCTTAGGCACTAAGCTGGTGGATATATAATAATTAATAGGACATATGTCATTAGTCCCTTGGCATTTGTCTGAAATTGTTTTCTGATGAATAAAACTTTGAAATTTAATGAAGAATGTCATTTAGTATTATGGTTTAATAGTATTTCTTTTCATTTGTAAGTAAGTAGTCTTAAAGGTTCATTTCTCGCAAAGGCGAATTTGAACCACATTATTGCAATGTTAGCTGATTGTGAAGTTGAGCTACTCATTCCTCTTTAGTGTAAATAATATCGTTTGCTTTAAGAAAAAAAAAATAAGAATTTGCAGCATCTTTGTGAATTGTGTTTGTTTTCAATGATGATATGTAATGGGGTTACATCTCACATTGAATTATAAAAGCATCTTTTGAGATATTCGCAAGAAAGTCTCTGGTATTAGGTTCCGGGATAAGCCTCTGATTGAGATATTTCACCCAAGACTTATAACCAAAATGGTCATTGAGATGGACATCTTTGTTTTTTGAGATTAAAAATTTTTAGAAGTGAAAAATCTCCCTTAAATGGAAAAATAAGGGACCACTTATATCGATTTTACCAAATACTCTCAAGTTAACGGAGATTTTCATGGAATGACTAGAATGATTGACAGTAGACAAAGTCAGGAACCACTTATATCGATTTTCAATCTCAATGATCAAATTGAGGAGTTACACCAAATCTACCATTTTAGCTAAATAAAACCATCTCAAATGGTATGGTCCCATTACAATGTTTTGTGCACACCTGAATAATTATCTGATATATTTCTTTTGTCGATGTGTCTGGTGCAGATTGTTATGAGCGATTTGAGAGGAGAGACGACGACTCCATCGCAGATGTATGAGACGTACGACGAAGGGGATGACGAGCCGATGAGGGGAATGAACGATCCAGATTGGGACATGTGGGAGGAATGGATGGGATGGGAAGGAGCTGGAATTAGGGACTACACATCTCACATTAATCCTTATATTTGAAGGGAAAGTTGTAATTAATCAATCGATACATGGGTTTAAAGCAAAATTAGTCCCATTGCAACCTAAAAATGGTTGTTCTTGTATACATGATGGAACTGAGGATCTAGTTGTCCTTTTTGTACATAGCTCTCTGAAGCCGAGCAATGCCTTGGCAAATCAAATGAAGAGTGTCGAGATTTCTCGTCTTACTATTGCAAATTGTGTTTAATTCTCTTTTTTGGTTTTTTTTTTTTTTTTTTTTAATACAAACGATATTAATAATCTAAGCTAAATTAAAAGAATAAGAAAGTTATCAACTTGGATGTAAGTTTGTCATCTGCAAAAAGAATCTTTTGTGGTAGATGTACACAACACACGATTCTGCTACCTTCATTCCACAATATATTTTGTTTTGATAAGGATTCAAATTTAACTAACCGTTTATTTTTTAAGTCTTTCTTTAAAGGTTGTGTTTGCAAAAAAGGTTAAATAGCCAAAATGGTTCATAAGATTTGCATAACTCATCACTTTGGTCTCTGAGATTGTCCACTATCCATCATTTTGGTTCTTCAGTTAAAAACTCTTTGGGCAATTTTCAAAGCTTCATAACTCAGTCGTTTCTAAACCAAATTTGACCCATAATATATCAAAATGAAGATAGGAAAGTGTATAACAAGATTATACCTACTTGGAAGCCCAATGGTTGCCGGAGATGGCCGGAAAATAGCTTCAAAGGTGACTGATCTGCGAGAAAACTGGAAAACTCGCCGGAAACTGGGTAAATTTAAACGTTCATAACTTCTTCAATACTTAACGAAATCAAGTGATTCAAAAACAAAAATCATACTCCTCTATGAGATGAAGAAAATGGTACCTTTCTTGATTGCTAATTCACCGTGGTTTGGCCGGAAAACAGCTCGAAATTGGCTAACCATTTTCACGTTAGCCACTTTCGAGCCATTTTCTGGCCAAACCATAGCCAGTTAGCTGTCAAAAAAGATATCCTTCTCTTTGTCTCGTCGAGAAGTATGATTTTTGTTTTTGAATCACTCAATTTCGTTGATTATGGAAGAAGTTATGAACATTTAAAGTTTACCCAGTTTCTAGCGAGTTTTCCTGCGGACCAGTCACCTTTGAGGCTTTTATCTTGCAATCTTCGACAACCATTGGGCTTCCAAAGTGTATAATCTTGTTCTACACTTTCCTATCTTCATTTTGATATATTATGGGTCGAATTTGGTTAAGAAATGATTGAGTTACGAAGCTTTGAAAATTGCCCAAAGAGTTTTTAACGGAATGACCAAAATGATGGATGATGGACAATCTCAAGGACCATTTCTATTGATTTTCAATCTCATGAACCAAAGTGATGAGCTATGCAAATCTCATGGACCATTTTGGCTATTTAACCTTACAAAAAATTATTCACATTTGAAACTATGTGGTTATTCGATTAAGGGCTTAGAGTTCTTTGTAAAACCGTATTTGTTTATTTTCTTTACTATAAACAAATGTCTTAATAAATTTAGATTTGTCTAATTTTTTAGGATAATCTATCAATAATGTTTAAAAAACTAAATGATTCAGATCATTGAAATACATAACGAAATGAATCACATAAAAACTCGTGTAAAAAATTATGTAAAAAAATAGTATAACGAATCAAGCCGCATTTTGTTTTAGGCTTCTAAAATTATGTTTTCAATATACAAACTGGAAAATATAGTAGTATCTATTCTCTAGGAGGTTTCGTTGCATATTTCGATAACTTGGGGGGGGGGGGAGGGAATTAGAGGTCGTTATATTCGCACTCTTAGTATCTCTATAAATAAATAATTAGATGTTCTCGAATTTCTCTTGCTTCCAATGCTTTTTGTTTAATAATATTTGGATGCTTTGTCACGGCATACATGTGCCACACCTGCGCCTGCATGCTTTGGCGTGAAGCACTCTCATATTTTAAATGAAAATATTTAAAATAATTTATAATTGCATAATTTATGATAAACGAATACGATTTGATGGGTGTAAGTTGACTTCACAAGTAGAGTTGGACCAAACAATTCCTCTCCTCAATTAAGTTTGAACTTCTAATTGTCCATTTTGTAGTGGCACATCCTCATTAGACTTGATTTTCTATTCGAGAGTTGCTAGCAACTTTCTCATTTCAACCGTCTTACTTTTACTTGGGTAACGTGTATTCCACCAGCATGCAAAATTGAAATTTTAAATAATTTTTAGCTGACAAACTAAAGTTTTGATAATACTAACGAAGGAAAACAAATAATGAAATTTTAATATGATTAAAATTATAGATTTGTGTGATAGTAGTACACGTGACATGAGAAAAGATGTAAAATTTACTCTAAATGGCTTAATAGACTCTTTAAAAAAGTTTGAATTTCTTGTACATGCTATTTGGACACCCACAAGGAACGTGATCTTAGAGAATATGTTCATCAAGGTGGTCAACCTGAGGTTAGGATGCAGTATAGGACGATTTCCATTTGCGCGCTGCAAAAAATATAAAGAGAAACATTTGACTTTCATACAAATTGATATGTTTAGACTAAATTTATGTCCTAGCCCCCAAGTAAAATCAAAATATCCATTGCCCTTCTGTATTGGGACGAGGAACATAATGTATGTTGCTACCTTTTTAGCATTCTCTCGATAAGTAGGTTGGTAACGGCCAGCATCATAAACGGAAAGGAATGCAATCTCTTTTTTCTTCGAGTGAGAATCCGGTGAGAAAACCATTCCTTTCTTCAGCGAAGGGTCTAATTGAACCCACATGTCCTTACTGAGCTTTTGAAGCACACCCTTACTAAGTTTTGCAGGTTTACGAACTAGGTTATTCAAGTGGGTAGGTCGGAAGAAGTTAAATTAGATAAAAGGCTTGAAGTTTTATTATTATTATTTTATATGATTGTAAATAAATCTTGGTTATGTTTATAGAAGGAATATATTATTATCATTATTATTATTTTAGCTTCCTTTTACTTATTCAATTAGTTCGCGATCCAAATTCTTATTTTTTACCGGCTTCGGGTTCGATATTCTCCTGAGTGTCTTATCAAGGTGATCAGCTTGAGGCTGTTATATTGATATTATTGGTTAATTAATGTGATTTGGTGTTAATTGGATAAATACTTCTCTTGGGTGTTCACATGATTTTGAAATTTCTACTGAACTGTTATTTGTCGAGAATATGACATTATTTGTGCACCAATCATGTGTAAGAAGTGGTTGGAACTTTGTTGTTGAGAAAGGAATTGAAAATGAGGGTAGTTGGAAAAGATCTTTTGTGTAGTTTTGTTTAACTCTTGGTAGCTACCAGATCTCAAGTCAGCCTACAGTGCACATGGTTTTACCGCGAAATTTGGGATTGGCGACAAAGCGTTAATCAAGATGAGTAACAAGAGGGGAAATTATGATGACTATGTTACCGGGGTTGGTTTGTATAATATAGCATTTGAACCACTACTGCAGTGGTAAAATGCATGGTATGGTACATGCAAGTGTGCTCGTTTTATTATATGAACTAACTGGTAGAGACGAAGAGTATTGCATTGCACTCGTGCATTGTTATCGATGTTAATTTGACATTTGGTTATATAATTTCATGACACCTAATTTACTATAGTCAATTTTACTTTGGTAAGGTTATGTCCGTCCTGACCTGTTGAAGCTCACCTCTCTGCTGTTATGCAGATTTTCGAACTAGACAGTCAAAGGAATAAGCGTGATGAGATTAAATTAGATGCAAGACTAAAAATGTTATTTATTTATTTTAACCTTATAAAGAATTCTTGATTTATAAGAGGATTTTATTTTCACCCATTTCAATTTTTTTTATTCTATTTAATATTTATTTTATTTTTACTCACACACCGAACGCGATATTATTTTTTCACCAATTTCGAGTTCGGGTTTGAGGGGTGACAGAAAAGAGTGCAAGAGTCTTGCCCCCTTTTTTTACTCCATAGGCCAGCGAGGATCATTCCGTGGAATCAACTACTAGAGATTGTACACTATATATAATCTTCCTTATAAATAAAAATATATTTCTTATTTTTCCATAATAATAATTTTTTATTTAGAATAAATATACATATGACTTTTTCGTGCTCTCAAGTTCAATGTCTATATAAATTTTCATTTTTATATTGGTATTATTAGTCTTCTTTCGTTAAGGAATTTTTCAAATAAGTTATTCCTTCAATGATTATTTCTACTAAAAATCACTCAAATTTAAAACTAGATAACGGTTGGATTCAATAGTATCCATTTTAATGTTTCTTTGAAGAAATTATATTCTTCTATTTTCTTCACCACAATTAGATGTCTTAATGATTTTAGATTCATCTAATTTATTGCAAGAAGAATTTATGAATGATTAATTAAAATTTAGATGGCTCGGATCATAAAAAAATTTTACAAAAAATAAATTAGATGCTTGAAATTTGATAGGCTTAGAGTTTCAAGAGATAAAATATAAAGTAGGGCGCTTTTGACAAATTAACAATTTATTTTGGTTGCTCAGAGAATACTGAAAAAAAAAAAAAAAAATTGGTCTCCAAAGAAATTCGAGTGTCTATACAAAGAAGTTGGAACGACAATTCTCCAATTCAACATAATGTACGGCTGAAAGAATGACAAATGTGTGAGCTTTTTTGGTTCTGCAAGGTTTCTCTCTGCTAGAAAACAAACCCTAACCTTGCAAACCTTCAGCCCCTGGTCCTTTGTGATAGGAGCATATTTATATTACTTAATTATGTTGTTTCCTTGCATTTAGTGAGTTAATTACTATTTATCTTAGTCTTTTAAGCTATTTTCGTATGTTTTTAGGTCCTAATGGCAAAAGGATCAAGAAAGGGCATTTTGAAGCTAAATGGAGCAATTTTGGGCATGGATTGGATAGCTTAACCATGGAGCAAAGAGGATGGACGAAATTGAAGTCAAGAAGGGCTAGGAAAGGCTAAAAATTTGGAGAAAGGAGTCCAAATGCAAAGAAGATAAGGGAATAGCAAGAAATAAGGAACCTTATCCAACCTTATCTTATCCTATCCTAACCAACCTTATCCTTTCCTAACTCTAACATTATCCTATCTTATCCTATCCAAATCAGGTTGTGCCTTAAATGTAGCTATTTAGGAGGGATTAGTTATGCATTTAAACACTTAAACTCATATTCTAGAAGCATAAACCCTTTGTATGCCGCATATAGGCCATTCCTTGGAGGTTTAGGAGTTGTAATCCCTTTCCTACACCTATGCCATGAGTCCTTATCCATTTAGGTCCAGAAATCTGCTCTTTATCCCTTCTAGAAGTCTAAATTCTGCCAAAAAATACCTAGTTTCTAGAAGCCCTAAATTTCTGGCGAAAATTCCCTATCCCTTTCCCTTTTGGTTTCTACAAAGACTTAACCCTTTTCCCATTGGATTGTGCAATCCTTTTCCTTCAGAAATTGTTCATAAATTAGCCTATAAATACAACCCTATGCCGCACCATTCAATCCATCCATTCACTCATTCATTCATTCATACTTTCAGCCATCAAACACCACAATTCACCCTACACCACCCTAGTGCCGCAAACAAGGAAGGAAGGAGAAGAAGACTTGTGCAATCTGCCATCCAAGGAGGGTTCGAAATCTGCCATTGGAGAGTGGAGTGTTTCTAGGTGTATTCTATCCTTAGTTTTAGTTCAATGTTTATATTAATTTGGCTTTCATTTATGATGAACATGTGGAACTAACTTCTTTTTAGTTAAAGGTGAATTCGAAGCCGTGATTATATGTTTTATATGAATTGATTACGTCCAGTTATTGTTTCTTAAGGCATGAATGTGATTTGCTTATCTAAGTTATTAAAACTTGTTTATGTATGTGGGTTGGGGGTCGACACTTAATTTGCATGCATGAATTTGATGCTAGAGTATAAGGGGGTTTCACGTAAGAGTTATTCACTTATATTCACAAGTAGTGGAGGTTGCTAGTCACAATCGTGTTAAGTAAATCCTTGGTATGAGTCTCATGCGTTTCATAGTCATGAATGCCTTGTCAATGCTTATGATTTTCATAGAACTTAATGACTTTTGACATGTATCTCTGTCATGCGTTTTATATAGGGAACTTGAGAAAGATAATTTGGTTTAGATGCGTATTCCATCTAATTTAATGAAATAAGGAAAATCTGATGGTTAGTTGTGCGATGCAACTAACTTGGGGTGTTGTCATTCATAGTCTAAAGGAAAAATAACTGGAAATTGGTTTATATGCATATATCATGTGTGGAGAAAGACCCTCTAACTAGCCTTTCACCCATTAATTTCGTTTTTACAAAGTGTTTTCTACAAAGTTTTTGTTTTAAGTTTTAAATTGTCAAAAACAATCCTCCTTTCATTTAGTCTTGTTATTTGCGTCAAAATCTGTTTTCTTTGAGTCTTTTGAGTCATGTTAAGGTTTATTTTCGTCCAAAACACTTGTTAGGTCTAAAATTGAGTCTTTTTTAGTGTTTGTTGTTGTTTTGAGTGTTTTAAGTTAGTTTAGAGTCTATAGAGTCTAGTTTAGTGTTTTTGAGTCTTAATTGTGTTGATTAGCATCCCTTCTAATCCCCAGCCTAAAACGATCCCTACTTTCATATACTACAATCATAGGATTTTAATTTGAGTGTTAGAATATTTCACATCACTTTGCTTAGGCTTGGGCCGATGGCAGCCCCTCCCACCTCTCTCTAGCATCCTTCTTCTCCTAACCTCCTAACCCCCCCCCCACCCCTCGCTTCCTATTCCCTGCCCTTGTTGCTTTCCAAACTTTTTTCCTTTCTATCCACACCCTCGAACCCCTCCAGCCACTACTCTCTCTTTCCTTGGTTTGACTTGCACCTTCTCCCCGTACTCTTCTGTGCGCTTCCAATTCTCATGACTTCTGCGAGCCTCCGACCCACTCCTCCGATTTATTGCTGCATTGGGCTCCTGTTTGGGGCTTAGATATGCAGTTTTGGATGGATTTTTTAGGTTGGTTTGTGGGTATTGGACTCACAACTCTTTTTCTTTTTTTGTTCTTTTTACCTGGTTGGTAGCGGTCTTACCTCTGAAGATTTCTTTTTTCGATTTTGTCTTGCTCCTGGGTGGGGTTTGCACTTGGAGCTTTCCAGTGGCGGCTTCTTGGTCTCCCGATTTGTTGGTGTGCATATTTTCTAGCTGGTTTCTCTCGGTTGATTAGACATCCGAGGGCTCTGCCCTTGGAACTATCGTTTTGTCGTCTTTGGGTTCGTGGTGATGGTGGGGATGGTGGTGCAACTGTTTTTCTTGCCATCACTACGACCAACTTCGGCCGGAGGAATCGTTGGTGGCTCTTGGTACTTTTATGTTGGTTTTGGGGTGTGGAGTGTTCCGACGACTACAGTGGCATTGGCTAAATCTTCCTCCCCACCTCTCTGAGCTCGTCTCCGCTACAGCTGGCCCCTCACTCCTCCCGACATTCCTACAGGTGCCTCTGCCTTTGCTACTCATGCCTACTGCCAACTTGCAACTGTATCTCCTTGTGGATCCATCACATGTCAGCCTGTTCTTTTGTTTTTAGTCTAGTTTTTATGACTATTCTATGCTACTTCGGCAATTGGTTTGTGTCGCTGCTGCAATTTTGTAGCCTCGCTGTCTAGCATAGGTTTTGGTTAATGTTTCAGTGCTTGGTATGCCATTTATGGGTCATATCAATCTCGGGACTTCTCATTGTAGTGGTGCGTTTTGAGTGATTGTCATATAGGGGTTTTAAAATAATTTGTAATTTGTGCTCATTACCTATAGATCAAGAAATTGATCACTGGAGCTTATGTACCCATCTAGCATCCTTGTAAGTAGATGGCTTTGGTATCCTTGTAAGTGGTTGGTTATTAATGAAATTTTATCGTTTCTTTCAAAAAAATGAAAAAAAGAAATACGAGTGTTTAGACAAAAAAAGGAGTATAGAAATGAGAATAGTAATGAATATGAATTATATCCATTACTCCTTCTAATTGATCAAATTCCTAGTCCGATAACAAGTTTTAAAGCGAAACCTATATACTTTACGAATCCTTTATGTTTTTAAGCATGAAAAAGTCAGAAATTAGAATCATTTTTCTTTCTTTTCCTGTACTCATTCCTAATGAGTAAATATGTTAGAAAAAAAAAATTAGTAAAGACACTTAATCAAAACAAAAGAAATGAAGAAGAAGAAAACAATTCAGTTGGATTGGGTATGATGTTTAGGGTAGGCCTGCAAATGGGTCGTGTTAGTCAGGTTCGTGTCATTTTTGTGTCATACTCGTTATCTTAAAAGGTCGTGTCGTATCATACCCATTATCTTAACAAATTCTTAACATGTAACTAAATAACGATCTGATTCGTTAACGGGTCATGTCGTTTCGTGTTAAGTTAACGAGTCATGCAAGAAATTCTCATGTCTAACCTCTATATCCAACAAACAAAATTTTATCGAATTCTTAACGATTTCCTAATAACGACTTGACACGTTAACGAATTCTTAACGAATTTCCTGATAACAACCCCAACTTTTTAATAGGTTGATCCGAAATCCATTATCTTTGAATTGTTTAGCGTCCGATTAACGGATCGTCTAAAAAAATTGTCAGGCCTAGTTTTGGTTTTCATTTAAGGCCCGATTGACCCATTAAGCAGTTGAAGTAGGATCCAGAAAAAACGGGTAGAAACAAAAGCAGACAAAACTCACTCACATTCTTCCTACTTTCGACTCCTGCACAAAACAAAACAAAACAAAACCATTAAATATTGATTTTATATTCAGAAAAAGAATTATTAATTATTTTAACCCTTTTGAAAGTAGAGGATTTTGTTTCCAGGACGTTGCCCTCCCATCCCATGATTCTTTTGGTTCCTCCTCCAACGAACCGGTAGACAAACCACCTCATACGCCCTCCGCGAATTTCAGTTAGCATCTCGATTGGGCATGCTGAAATCCTCTCGATTTCTGAATCTAGGGTTCTGATTCTTATTCAGGCCAATCGATTCTTCAATTTCGTCCGTAAGAATTGTTCAATTGTGAGCTGAGCTGCTGACGATCATCAACAACCACCAGCTTTTTGCAGCAATCGACATTTTATTTCTCTTTACAGGTGATTTTCTTCTGCTCTATATTATCTGGGTGTGCTTGTTTACGTGTTTTTATGGTGTGGAAACTGGGATTGTGGACTTTGAGGCACCAAGCTTGTAGCTTTTGGATTTCTGATGCTTTCGTTTTTGTTTTGGTGGAAATGCGATTGGGATTGGGATTGGAGTTCATAGAATTTTGGTTTTAGATTTCCATGCTTTGTTGAATCATATGCTTATATCCCATAATTTATTTCTTGAAATTTTGATGAATTGGGTCTCTTTATTTTAGTTTAAGATATATTCTTCAGCAGATAACAATCATATTTAGCACACATGAACTATAGAAAGTATTTTCCCTTATGGCGGAAATGATTTTCACACACCCCTGTTTATTTCTGGGACCGAAAATGGCTGTGAGGAATTTATTTCCCTTTATTTTAATCAAGAAGTTGTGCAAGTCGTTGGTCCTGGAATTGTATGCATGTAGATATAGACAAGTGTTACATCAAAATTAAAGTCGTTTGTTTTTTAATGTTGCAGCATTGAGAGCTCATACGTAATGGAGGACCTCAAAGAGAGGCTGCTTCCACCAAAAGTCCCAAAACCTGCATCAGCTGTAAACCTTCGCGAAGCATCTTATCGATCATCTGCCTTTGGAAGGCAACCTTTTCAAGGAGTAGATGTTCTGGGGCTGAAGAAGCGGGGCCAGGGCCTTCGGTCTTGGATTCGCGTTGATACGTCTGGCAATTCTCAGATCATTGAGGTTGATAAGTTCACCATGATGCGTCGTTGTGATCTTCCTGCTCGTGATCTACGCCTGCTTGATCCTTTATTTGTTTACCCTTCCACCATCCTTGGAAGAGAGAAAGCTATTGTGGTTAATCTAGAGCAGATTCGATGTATTATTACGGCCGATGAGGTTCTGCTTTTGAATTCCCTTGATAGCTATGTATTGCAGTATGTGGTGGAGCTTCAGAGAAGATTGACAACAAATGGAGTGGGTGATGTTTGGCAGTCTGATGGTTCTGGCTTGAGTCGGCAGAGAGGAAATAGAAATTTTGATAGTGTGTTTGGGAGCACATCACCTGATTATTTGCCATTTGAGTTTAGGGCTTTAGAAGTTGCTCTGGAGGCTGCCTGTACATTTCTCGATTCTCAGGTATGTAAGGGAACACAAGAATTTAGGATCTCTATCACTGCTCATTACTAGATGTGGACGATGATATGTCATTTCTGCAAGGACATATTTCTAAAAGTATTTTGATAACTATGCAAGAGGACCGGTAAATACTTAATAGGTTTTGAAGACTTGTAAGTAATACAGAAAAGTGGAGTGCATACCCTAATAACCATATCTGTCACATTTTGTTTAGCTCAAGTACCACAGATGCTTGAGCTGGCATTGAGACATGGTGCAAAATTGGCTATAGAACTTCAGTGGATTTGTACAGTCCATTACGTAAGGATTTATATAGTTTTGAGTTTAGTTCCTTATTGGTGACTGATAATGATACTTGCTGAGTTGCCACAGCCGGTTATGTGGTTAAATTTTTTTTTCGTGATGATTGGAGCTAAGGACTTGGTTCCTTGTTACTTTGAGGACCTTGTGCCCCTTACGTTTTATTCATCAAGCACTCAACATAGTGGTATCTGTGGTGTGGTGTTTGAAATTGAAAACATGAGGCTTTAGACAGTGAAGAACACTGATGGTTGAATATCTTTTTGTCATTGATATTCGGATGATTTACGGTCATCATAATAGTGTTCCATTTACTCCCAGTTGTTTTGTATGGTATTGCTTCTACAATCCATGTCTGCTTAAGTGATCATATTGGAGTTCTTTAGCGGATTAAATAGAAAAATATGTGCTGTGATATCTGAATTGATAACACAACTTCTATCTTTTTGTAAGTACATGATGGGATTATAGGACCAAATAATTATCATGCCTTATGTACCTGTTACTTCTAGCTATGCAATTACTGCTCACCCTTTCAGTTCTGTTGGTTACTTTAAGTTTTAAATAAATTGGTAAGTTATTGGAGGTAGAGTGAACCTTTTCAAATTAAATCAGCAGCACCCTTTTCTAGTTTTGGTAAGTGGGCACGAGACAGTGCAGACTTAGTTGGGGAAAAAGAAATGAGTTTATTCATTTCTCCCCCAATATTTTACTTGTAGTTCAACATTTTGCATCTCCTTTTACATTTTATTTCTGCACTCTTAGGATTTAGAGTCGTATCCTTGTGGAAATTCCACAGGGAGTAGTATACAGAACGTTGATGGATGCTATTAATTACAAAGTTCCTTTGATTATTGTTGTTGATTACAGCAGTTGCCATTTAGCCAAAGGAGAGATTGCATTCATTTGTACGTTGATGTTTTATATTTTTAATTTTTTGCATCATTTTTAATCACGTCAGAGTTCAAGAAATGCCCCAATATTGCTATTTTTTCTGCTTAGAGAGTTGTTTTTGTCAAAACAAAATTACATCTTTTAGTTTCTTAGCTTCTAACTTCAGTATTCAGCAGACTTCTTGTCGTCTGTTTTGTATTCTTGCGAGATTAATCAATTTTAATAATATATTGTTTCTCTAAAAAGTAAAATATACATGGATTTGTTATATTTACAGTATGCCCGTTGATTATAATGCTCTGCACAATTTTGAAGACACCATCCGTAGTTTGAAGTATGAGCTTGGATCATGTTCTTGGTGGCTAAACATTCTCCAAGTTAGTAACTCATTTATTAATGGTGTATTGTATAGGCAGCCGAACTAGAAATTGAAGCATATCCATTACTGGATGAGCTCACGTCAAAAATCAGTACACTAAACTTGGAACGTGCACGTCGTTTGAAAAGCAGACTTCTTGCCTTGACTAGGAGAGTTCAGAAGGTATTGTATATTTATCTACTAATTAGCTTCATCCTGCTTAAGCCACCATGACAACCAAAACTGTATTCCAACGTTTGAGCTGCCTCTGTTTAGGTTCGGGATGAAATAGAGCAGCTCATGGATGATGATGGAGATATGGCTGAGATGTATCTCACTGAGAAGAAAAGTCGCATGGAGTCAGCATTTTATGGTGATCAATCTATGATGGGGTACAGATCGACCGACGGTCCATCTCTTTCTGCTCCTGTTTCTCCTGTTTCTTCACCTCCCGATGGCCGAAAGCTTGAGAAAAGCCTGAGCATTGCAAGGAGTAGACATGAAAGCATGAGGAGTTCAGAAAGTGCTAAGGAGAGTATAGAAGAGCTTGAGATGTTGCTGGAAGCATACTTTGTTGTCATTGATAGCACCCTCAATAAGCTGACATCGGTAAGCATAGAACTTGTTTTTTAAATTGACACCACTATATGTATATCGATGACTATATCTAAACATTCCCTGGCCATATTAACTCGAGAAGAATACAAGCTTATGTTATTTCTGTCCCATGTCTCAGTTGAAAGAGTACATTGACGACACCGAAGATTTCATTAACATTCAGCTGGTAAGTGCCTTGTTATCCTGAATAAATTTCTCTGCCTGGTTTCATTGAACTTTCCTTGTATTGGTGGAACCGAATTTTAACACGAGGAAGTTTTTGCGCTCAGGATAACGTTCGAAACCAGCTGATTCAATTTGAGTTACTACTCACGACAGCAACGTTTGTTGTTGCCATATTTGGGGTTGTGGCAGGAATATTTGGGATGAATTTCGAAATAGCATTGTTTGATGAGCCTGCTGCATTTAAGTGGGTACTTATAATTACAGGAGTAACTGGCTTTTGCATATTTTCTGCATTCGTGTGGTTCTTCAAGTACCGAAGACTGATGCCACTTTAGATGTAAACTTAAACCTCAATCAAGGAATATTTGTTGCTATTTTATTTGTACCGTCTCAGATTAATCGAAAGTTGGCTCGATGCTTCAATTCTTTTGATATGATTCAGAAGTCTGTATTTGATCCATGTAAGCTCGTTTCCATGTATACGAAATGTTCTCCCGGTCTTGATGAACAAGGGTGGAGACCGAAGTACGAAAGAAGAAAGCGTTGTATGTGCCGGGCAATGGAAAACTTTAGGTGTCACAAGTACGTCTTACATCCTTCTTGAAAGAAAGTGACACCAAGCAATGAAGGGCCTGTTGCCACATTAAAAACATCAACTACATCAACCGATCAACAAATTGGACATTCACACAAAGGCGTCTTTGTTTTGGTTCGACAATCAAGACACCGGAGTTTTTAACCGAATGTTACCGAACAATGCAAGCTCAACATGACAAGAAACATAAGTTCGGTTCTGCCTAATTATTCAAAACGATACCTCATAAGCGGTACATTTGTACCTATCAAAAAGAAAATAAGCAAAACAACCCATTGCTCCCCAAGGATCATGAGAAGCCACTCTTCTGCAAAACGGGTCGAGGATGGCAAAAACAGTGTCAAACAACAAAGATATATTGCACCTTCCAACCATTATGAAAAACCAGAGGAAAGTTACACGCTTCAACATAAAAACTCCTGAAATCATTTAGCAGCGGCAGGCGCCCAACACTGTTCCGCTCCGCAGTAGGTTGAGGGAGTTATCCTACTTTAGAGCCTAGGTTAAAAGGAATTCTTTGTTCTGTCCTTGAGTTTCGGCAATGAATTAAGAAAAATTAAGATTTTTTTTTCTTTTGTGCTTCACTAAAACCCAAAAAGAGAAAGGATACGTATAGCTGACTACTAATAGGTAGGAGTTGAGGGCTAATCATTGTTATTCCGTCGGAATATTGCTGTTTGTATGTAGCTTCTAACTGTCAGGCATTGTGTATTTGAAGGCCACTAATATAGATTAACAAAATATTCTCACAACTATGGTTGAGCGTTTTAATGTATTGCATTTCACCAGAAAAATGAATACGGCTTCGTAATAGTGTGAGTGTTGTCTAGTTTAATGTATTAAGAAAGAGAGCTTAATAGTATGTCCCGGCCAACATTTAGTTTTCTTGAATTCTTATTCCAGCATAACATTTAGTTTTCTTGAATTCGTACAATTAATTTTTCGGGAGAGGTTTTGGTCTGCTAATCAAATTTACAACTCTCTTTATCCCACACTCGTGTCATTCTGGAAGTCGTAAGTTGGGAACCGTACATAGTAGGATGCGTCCATATGCAATGGTTGCTTCCAACACGCTCTTACATCAACCGATCTTCTTTTATCTTTTTTCGAAGTTTTGAGGATGCACTGGTAACCTATAAACTTTGTTAGTGATCTTCGTAATCTCAGGGTTGCAACTGCCCGCTTGTATGCTGAAGACAAAACCTGGCATTTTGTATCGATTCTTCAGCCAAATATTTACTTTGCTTGAACAAAAACGAATAGACAAAAGCAGTCATTTCTTTTCGTTGCCTTACAACGTCTTCTTGCACTCATTCGCTTACACTGAAGATGTACTGATTTTGGTTTGATGTGTTTTACGGGCATGCGATATCAAAGACCCGAAGCAGAACATTAACTGGACTCAACCGGAGGAGGTGGCGGTCCAGGCTACTCCATAATGTAGAGAGTAAACAAGTTGTTTTGCTATTGTCATTGCTAAATGTTACAGTTTCTGTATACAATAATTCTACTCTGTTTTCGCCAATGTGAATAAAATGTTGAATCAAAATCGAACGCATGGTTGTCTGCGGTCTCACAATGTGACAGTTACAAAATGTGGTTGGAGGGTGCGTCGCAGCCCTCGCTAATGAAAACACCTGAATTACATAAAAATGTAGGCTCCTCGAGTACAAATAAGTCGGAAAAGAAGAAAAGAAACAACATTCCGCAACTGTATAATTGTTGGCTCATAACACCTTCACCCGCGCCCTTTGCTGAATCTACGGCTATGCGACTAGTTCAACAGTCCTAGCCAATTCAACAGCTGCTCCGACATAATTATGCGGCGTTAACTTTAGTAGATTGGTCTTGGCTTCATTAGGTAATTCCAGGCCTTGTATAAAATCTACTATACTCTCCTTGGTAACAGCTCTTCCTCTGGTTAGTTCCTTCAACTTCTCGTAGGGCTCAGGAACTCCGTATCTTCGCATAACCATCTGTATTGGTTCAGCAAGAACTTCCCAAGTAAGGTTCAAGTCCTCCGATATGCAACCTTCGTTGACCTGTAGCTTTGATATTCCCTGAAGTGTGCTTTTGTAGGCAAGAAGAGAATGCCCCAATCCCAAACCCATGTTCCTCAAAACAGTTGAATCCGTCAAGTCACGCTGCCAACGTGAAATAGGTAACTTCATGCTCAGATGACAAAGATTCCCATTAGCCACGCCGAGATTACCTTCACTGTTTTCAAAATCAATAGGGTTTACCTTGTGAGGCATCGTTGATGACCCAATCTCACCGGCCTTAGTTATTTGCTTGAAATAACCCAAAGATATGTAGTCCCATATATCTCTATCAAAGTCGATCAATATGGTATTGAACTGGCAAATTGCATGAAAGAGTTCTGCCATGTAGTCGTGAGGTTCAATCTGCGTGACATACGGATTAAAGCTCAATCCAAGAGATGTTACAAACTCTTCAGCAATCTGAGGCCAATCAACATCAGGATAGGCGACAAGATTAGCATTGTAATTTCCTACAGCCCCAGCAAATTTCCCATTATCTCCACCCGAGAAATCTCTTGCCTCTCTCTTCTTAATCTGACAGCAAAATTTGCCAATTCCTTTCCCAAAGTTGTGGGTGAAGCAGGCTGTCCGTGAGTATGAGACAGCATAGAAATATGAGCATTGTCTTTAGCCATGTTGCATACTGCCTCAATCAAATCATCCATGACTGGATATATGACATCATTCACAGCTCCTTTCAGCATCAATGCATGAGCGAGATTGTTGATGTCCTCAGATGTGCAAGCAAAATGAAAAAATTCAAGTACCTTGCCTATTTCTGGATGTGGTTGGCATCTCTGTTTCAAATAGTACTCCACCGCCTTCACGTCATGGTTTGTCACTCTCTCAATCTTCTTTATTTCTAATGCATCGTTATTACTAAATCCATCAATTATTTCTAGCAAATACAACTGAGCATTTTCACTAAAGGTAGGTACCTCTGTGACTTGAGGGATTTGTGAAAGCCATAGCAACCATTTGATCTCAACTAGAACACGGAAATAGATCAAACCATACTCACTCATGTATGGAGCCAAGTCCTTGACTTTACCCCAATACTGACCATCCAATGGTGACAACGCCATCAAACTGACAAGCTCAGATTCACCAGAAGATTTACCAGACACCATCTTCACACTCTCAGTGTTAACATTGGTGTTATTTCTGGTGTATCTAACAGCCCTATCCACCGTCCTGGCCAGTTTAACAGCTGCTCCAACATAGCTATGCGGTGTCAGCTTTGATAAAATGGACTTTGGTTCTTCAGGTAATTCCAAGCCTTTAATGAACTTTCTTATACTTTCTTTGGTAACTGTTCTTCCTCTTGTTAGTTCCTTCAGCTTCTCATAAGGCTCGGGAACACTATATCTTCGCATAACAGTTTGTACTGCTTCTGCAAGCACCTCCCATGATTGGTTCAACTCTTCACTCATGCGACCTTCATTAACCTGTAGCTTTGCTATTCCCTGCAGTGTGCTTCTGTAAGCAAGAAGAGAGTGACCTAATCCGACACCCATGTTCCTCAGAACAGTAGAATCAGTCAAGTCACGCTGCAGACGTGATTTAGGCAACTTCTCACTCAAGTAGGAAAGACTTCCACTAGCAAAACCAAGATTACCTTCACTATTTTCAAAATCAATAGGTTCACTTTGTGAGGCATTGTTGACGACCCAATTTCACCAGCCTTAGTTGTCTGCTTGAAGTAACCCAAAGATATGTAGCGCCATATATCACTATCAAAGTCAATCAATATATTATTGAAACGGTTGAGGCCATTGAAAACTTTTGACATATAGTCATGAGTCTCGATCTGAGTAACGTGGATTAAAACTCACTCCAAGAGATGTTACAAACTCTTCAGCAATCTGAGGCCAATCAACATCAGGATATGCAACAAGATAAGCATTGTAATTTCCTACTGCACCAGCAAACTTCCCCATGATTTCAACCTGAGAAATTCTGCGCCTTTGTATGCTTAACCTGACAGCGAAAATTGCCATTTCCTTCCCCAAAGTGGTGGGTTACGCAGTCTGACCGAGAAGGCATGGGAACGGAAGCATTATCCTTTGACATGTCACATATTGCCTCAACCAGCTCATCCATGACAGGAAACAAAACATTGTTCGTAGCATCTTTTAACATCAACACATGAGCAAGATTGTTGATGTCCTCAGATGTGCAAGCAAAATGGAAAAACTCAAGCACCTACAGTAACAAAATATTACACGATTCTCAAACATATGAAACAAAGCTATCAACGGGACAGTATCAAATATAAAGGAGCAGCTTCAAGCTTGTTTCGGAATTTAAATAACTCGATAAAGGGATTCACCTTAGCTATCTCTGGATGCGAACTGCTTTTCTGTTTCAAAAAATACTCCACTGCTTTCACATCATGATTAGTAATTTTCTCAATCTTCTTTATTTCCGCTGCATCATCGACGCTAAATCCATCGATGATTCCTTGCATGTAAGATTGAGCATCTCCACTGAAACTGGGCACCTCTGTGACCTACGGGATTTGTGAAAGTTTCAACAGCCATTTGATCTGAAATTAAGAAGGACAATTACACCTTCATCAAATTCAAATAAAGAAAACGCAACAAAAATTACAAAACTCGAAGTACCTCAACGAAAACTCTGTAGTAGATTAGGCCATATTCGCTCATAAAAGGAGCCAATTCCTTGACTTTACCCCAATAACGGCCGTCCAACGGCGACAAAGCTGTCAAAATCGAATGCTTGATTTCGCCTTTGCTGTGGCATTTACCATTGGTATCTTCGATGGC